TTAAGATTGTGCTGTGGAATAAATAACTTGGTTTTACAATGTATTGTTTTTGAGTTGTCATTATTCGTTATTAACAGAGTTGTAGCTGTAGAAGTAAATGTGGGTTGTAGACATTTTAAGTAAGGGTAAGTGATAACATTGGTAAACTCTGAATAATGGGAGTGGAATTTAAGGATGTGTAAGGGGCTTAAATAAAGGTGGATAGAGGGCCATAAAATTTGCTTCGCCCAACATAATTAGATCGCTGATTAAAAATTAACATCAGCAACTGTGCATTAAACAATCCCAACATTTTTGATAATGATCAAAAAGATTGAAACATTGAATCTCAAAATGTCTCTCTTTTTTTGGAGTTACTGTCTTTTCGTTTTATCCCAACATTTGTGAATTTTCTATTTATCAAACCAATTGAATTGAGCTTTACCAGAGAGTATAGAACTGCAATACAAAAAGAAAAGTTTCACCTATCATGGATCAAAATTATGGAATTCATTATCAGAAAAAGCAAAAAATGCTAAAGATTTAAAGAGTTTTAAAAATATTGTGTCAAACCTGACCAGTTTTTGAAACCGCAGATTTTATTATTTCAAATTTGAAATTTTTTAAAAGTAGTATTTAGTTCCTAATTTTTACAGTTGGTAGGTTTTTACTTTTCCATGTTTGTTTTCCCTTTCTTTTATCTTATCAGTAGTTTAAGTACACGGCCTCTTGGAAGACCAACCTTTGTAAAAAGATTGAAATGAGTATCCGTGGATAAATAAAGTTATTATTATTAAGAGGTCCGACTCCTGGGGTTTCGTTGGGACACAATCCCATCTCAAGAAAAGTACTACCACAAACTAGAGGGCGTCCTTCAAAAGAACTTAAAAATAGTTTGTAAATAGGTCGCCCCCATCCTGTGGTAGTACCTTTTGAACGTTTCAATGTGTGTATACAAAATGAATGAAGGCAGTCAGACCTCTTCCACTTCTATAGTGTTTGCCTTTATTAACAGTTTTGATGTTCATTACATGAATATCATCTTTAGAAAACTATTACTAAAGGTCAGGTCAAGTTAATTGGTTTGATAAATAGAAAATTCTCACATCGTATCTACAAACCAGATGAATATTTTCAACTAAATCTAAAGACATTTATTCCTACCACAAAAAATGTCTTCACTTTTTTTAGCGAATGTGACTTTACACATTACTTATTTCCTTCTTGTAATTGGTGCGTTCCTGCTGACAAACATGAGGCAAATTTGGAAAAAAAAAAAGACATTTATTAGAGTCTAAAGGGACCATACTTTTTTAATGGTTATTGATGGACCTGGTTTAATGGGAACTTGGGAGGGAATCTTGAGTTGCAAAAACCTAGAATACATGCAGTTATCTAGGGATAAAATGAAACTACAGGTTCCCTCCAATTAAAGACCCCTCCAATTAGAAGACCACTTTTTGGTAGCCCCCAAATGAATAATTTTCTGATTAAAGTCCATGAAAACCCCAGTCCTAAAAGTGGTATTTAATTAGACGGAAACCTGTATTAAGTCTCCTTGACACAAATTCAGTTATCAAAAAAATCACATTGATCTAACTGTTTTTCACTTATTTTAGATAAAGTGGCTTTTTAAGCATTGACAAATTTTGCTAATAATTTCATTTTCCACTTGATGTATAAAGTGATAATATATCAAACTAATTAAATCGTCTAATTCAAGTTGTGTTTATTCTCTTGTGCATAAATTATTTAATTTAGTTTGCATAAGTTTACAAACCCCAGTTATAAAAGTGGTCTTTAATTAAACGAAAACCTGTATTAAGTTTCCTTGACACAAATTCAGTTATCAAAAAAAATCACATTGATCTAACAGTTTTTCATTTATTTTGTAAAGTGGCTTTTTAAGCATTGACAAATTTTGCTAATAATTTCATTTTCCACTTGATGTATAAAGTGATAACGTATCAAACTAATTAAATCATCTAATTCAAGTTGTGTTTATTCTCTTGTGCATAAATTATTTAATTTAGTTTGCATAAGTTTACAATAAAGCTAGCCACTTATCAGACTTTGTTTCAAAGTCCTGTACCTGTGGATTTTTGTCTGAGTGTCTAGCCTATTACCCCTAGACAATCACCGGCTAGACAAACAGCCAAGTTCTGTGATTACAATCAATCCGCAGACCGTGCTTATCAGGGAACCGTGAAATTTATTCGCATTCGTTTCAATTTGTTCCATCTCATTGGCCATTACCTATGCATCACCAGGTAACTATTGCTTTAAAACGTAACCTGATGACCTTTAATAATTTTCATGATATAGATAATAATAATATTAGAGTTTCGCAATAATACATTGTATACATAATATTTTTATTTTTTAACTTATTGTAATTATTTACTTTCTAATCTTTTATAAAAATATATTCTAATTTTGTTTGAAATAAAAAGAAAAAAAGTAACCAGATATTATTTTATACATGTCAAAATAAAAAACGATTGACTGCTATGAAAAATTAGGTACCATCCTAATACTTGAAGTACATTCATTTGTATAATTTATTATTAGCCCTTTATATAGTTTCATTTGTATAATATTAACAGTGTCCCTTTAAAATGATGTTATTTATATACAGTAACTTGAATTTTCCCTTTGAAGTACTTTCATTTGTATAATTTATACATTGTCTTCATAAAATACTCTCATGTGTTAAATGCTCTGTAGTTTATCCCTTTAAAATGCTTTCGTATTCTAATTTATACATTGTCCATTTCAAATATTTTTATTTGTACAATCTACACAAACACACAATTTACAGAAGGAAATGTACAGTAGGATAAAATATTATTCATGCTCATACTGGAAGCAACCTGGGAATCTAACCTTCTGCAACAGGGGAAATACAGATAATGAAGATGATGATGGTACATTTTTTTTAATTCATTGATTTATATAATTTGTACATTGTCTTTTTTGAAAATGTTCTCAATTGTATACTCTATAAAGTGTCCCTTTATAATACTTTTATTTTGTATAATTTATATATATTTATTTCTATAATTTATATATATTGTCTCTTTAAAATACTTTCATTTGTATATTTCATACATTTTCCCCTTAAAATAATTTTTATTAGTATAATTTATACATTACTTTGATTGCTATACTCTAATTACTTTCATTAGTTTAATTTGTACATTTGATAGCATTCTGTCCACAAATATCTGCTGTGTAGGATCCCATTTTTTCTCTGTTAATTCTGGTTGAGTTATTTCAAAGATAGTTCCACTGTGTTTACTTATTAACAGCTGTTTAGGACAGAATGTCAGATCCCCTGTTTGTTTAGTACATGGTGTATCAAGGTTTCTGCTTACAAAACTAGAAAACATTTTATAAAAAAATCCGGTAAAAGCAGTAATCATGAACAGGTAAGGGTGCTTAGTTTATTAGTTCTATTGATGGCTTTGGATTATTCAATCATTTTATGGTTTGAATATGGTTTGTCAAGACGATTTCAAAAGTTAGCTATGGCTTATAAAATATAGCAGTTCATCAGAGATTTCAAATACAGCAGAGCCTTTATTTAGGGGACACTTTGAGACCCATAAACAGTGCCCCTTATTGGGATGTCCCCTAAATAGAGGTGAGCTGTAGTTTTAAAAGATATACTTTTCTTCATTCCGTGGCCACTTAATTGAGGTGTCCCAAAGGACAGGTTCTACTATATATAGAGGTTCTTACTGTCGCCAAAGAGGTTACTGGATGTATTTATCGCTGTTAGCAGGATAACTCAGAAACAAGATCATAAGTAATTGAATTTTATGTTGAAAACTTAAGGACAAGATCAAGGTAATCTTCTTTCTCGAGTATAAACAAAACATTGGAATTACCCATCTTTCCCATTAATGCCCTGTGTAAATTATTCGGTGTTGAGGGACAGAGCAACAGTATACAATCTGCGAAGTGACTAATCTCATTCGTTGTTATTCATCCAGTTTTCTTTGTATGCTATCTGTATACTTTGACAATAAATACTGAACATTATTTGTGGAAATCTCAGGACTGTAAAGGTGGATGAAGTTTTGTTATGTCCTGATTAGACTATCAAATTTTATTTGACAAAAACATGTGACATACCTAAATATGGTCATGATGACATCACATCATGACCATATATAGGCACATCATGACTATATATGGGCATACAACAGTTTTTGTGTCAAATAAAATTTGATAGTGTGGACAGCTCTTTAGTTGACAGCTTGCTTTGTTAATGTCTTGTTAAACATTAAAGGCCGTCAGGAGGTTATTCTGATATACAGAGTGGTTGGGATTTGTTTAGTTTTGCGATAGTTTATCTGTCAGTACAGTTCAAATGTTCAAACCAGTTTTTTGCATTTGTAGCTTTAGAAACCTTATTAAGTGCTGCAAAAAAAATATTAAATATTTACTTTGTACTTCAGTCATTATTAAAGGTGCTGTGAATTGTATGTGGTTGTATAGGCCTACTTATTTTGATTTTTAATATTTTACTTTTATTATGTGTATTTTGAAATACGGGGTATATAATGTATGATTAGGTGATGATGCCAATGATTGCAGTGGGTGGGATGATGATGATTATTATAATGGAAGTGAAATCGTGATATTAGGGATGATGGGAATGGTGACAAGGTATTCTTATGTAGTGTTAATGAACATTTTTGATTAATTTTTATGCAATTTTATTGTAAATGTTATGAGTAATTTTGCTTTTATGCAGACAACAATTTTCAACATTTTGTGCATTTTTAATATAAATGAATAAATAGATTTGGTGGTTGTTGTGGTAATAAAAGTAGTAGTACGGGTGTGGTCTTGGTAGATTGGGCAGTGGTTTAAATAGTGATGGAGTAATGAATATAAAAAATGGGATGGCAGTTGTTGGCCATTGAAAACAGCAATGCTCATGATTAAAACACATGGAATCACCTGATCATTTATATGAGCCCCTCTTTTGTTGTTTTTTTTTTTTGCAGAATATTAACACCCTTGGTGGTGTTGTTAAAATGTGGCAATTCTCAGTCATCCTAGACACTATCAAAGAAGAAAGAATATTCCTTCTCTTTCCAAATTTATTAGTTATTCTCTCACCGGATGTGAATATGAGTGGGTTTACTTATGAGGTAAGTACTGTATCTGTATTGGCCTAGATTTTATTAAAAATATATTGTACTTGGTAACACATCTGTGAAAAATATAAATTGCTTACTGTATTTAAAAGTGTCAAATAAATATTAACATGTTCACTGCCAAGCATTTTTCCAAGTTCCATCCCATACGCTAAGGCATAAAGAGGGCCACCATAATGAAAATCACTCCCATTAATGAAACACAAGCAAACATACAGTCTTTATTTTTCATTACTTCCACATCTTCTCTGAACCGCCAGGGTGGAAGCTTGTGTTCTGGCAACCACTGCCGCCAGCAAGTATACGTACAATACAATAGTGGTATAGTATGTTTCGACTCGAGTGGACGTAAATCCAAGTTCTTGGTGCCACAAGTAAACTTTGTCGGACATGAACTCGCGTCCCTGGCAGCGAACATGTTCTTCCAATGGGGCAGAGATCAAATTTTTAATATATATAAAGTTTTTACTATAAAAATTACCAGCCAATTTAGGCGTTAAAGAATATAAGAACTATATTATATATGCATCTGTATGTATGTCTATAAACCTTAGTGGAGTAACTAATGTCCTTACTCCGTAATACAGTTAGGGTAGGGGTATGCGAGTCATTAGGCCTTAGTGGAGTTACGTCCTTACCTCATAATGCATAGTTCAGTTTGGGTTGGGGTATGCAGGTTAGTTCAGTTAGGCTAAGTGTATGCCGGGTCAAGATCAACAAATGAACAAAATGATGTAGCCAGATGAAATTCATTGAGAAGATTTATATAGGCAGTATAATCAAGTCCTTTTTTTTTTGTTGCATGGCTTATTTTGTTTGGTATTAAACACTATAATAAAGATATAATCTCTGTGTTGAAAGTAAGCATTACTATTAAAATCCAATGTTTCCTAAAACGATAATCATATCAGCCAAAATCAAACATGAAAGTATGTCTATCTTGTATCAATATGTTTGATGATTCAATGTACATGTGTATGCACAGAGTATCATGTCTGCTCTTCCTAATGTGTAGTTTATCTCTAGCTAATATAAGAAGTAGATTGATATTAATGTTGGTAAGGTAAATGCTGCATAGACCTCTACGGAAGCCTCAATTCCGATATGCCACTGTACACATTTTTGTTCAAATTTCTATTGTTGACTTGTTTTTCATTATCTCCGTCACGTTTTTACTAAGGTCTGCTGTGTAACCACAACAATATATGTATTTGCAGGGTAAAATAACATTGCCAAATTTACGTTTGACGCGGGTCGATGATACTGAGGTGGTTACAAATGCATTTGAAATGTCAAATAATGGCGCCGACAAAGTTCTACTCTCGGCTAGTACTTTAATGGAGAAGGAAGAGTTTATTGATGAAACAGAGAGGTTACAGAATCAACAACCAGCCCCGGTAGTTGTGATGCGGCGTGATAAAAAACAACAGGAAATACAAATGTCAGATGTAAGTGTGATATCATTTTCTTTAGCTATTCATATAATAATGATATATTTATTATTACTATTAATTTTCTGTTAATATATTTATTGTTATTTTCATTGTTTTTATGTATTGTTGCATGTATGTATTTAGGGCAAATAAAAAAAATTTATTAGATTATCACTCCCGCGCGTGTCAAAAATTCATGCGGGAATTAAAAAAAAGTGTTGTTTTTTTTTGCCGCATCAATTATTATTATTCAACAATAACTGTACAATTTTGTGACTTCAAATACATTTTCTTTAAAAAACTATAAAATTAAACCAGTTTTTATAAAATATTTACAATTACAGGCCAAACATAAACATTCCCTCCCTCAAAGATAAAAACAAAATCGAAATAATCTATTGTTCCGATTAAAAAAAAAAAAAGACCGCCCTTTTTTAAATCTACATCTCATGCCACTGTTTTGTTATGGCAATCAATTGATGTTCATGAATTTAGGGTCAAACATTATTAACGGGTCATCTTTCTTTTTGGCAATATTATTATTACTATAATATTATTTCGAAAAATGTCATAGGGGTGATTTTTATTCCTACCTGACGTGATATCATACCGAATACTCAGTACGTCCCCAAATACTACCGGGGAAAAAAATTGCAAATGATTTTGGGTGGGAATTGAACCCATGAACTCCAGGTAACTAGGCTGATGTCTTAACCACTAGACCACCGAGCTTGCACTTTGTGATGAATCCGATCCCCTAGTAGCAGCGGGTACTATAAGTGCTATTACGATGTGTGTTTACATCAGGAAAATACCTTAGGAGTAATGTTTTGCCTTACCTGATGTGTTACTGTACCGAATACTCACATACTTGGAGACGTATTGAGTATTCGGTATGATAACATGTCAGTTAGGGCAAAACATCACTCCTATGATATTTTACGTGAATCATATGAGGATGATGTATTTATTATTTTGCTGTTATGTATTTATTGTTATTTTTATTGTTTTTTATGTATTGTTGCATGTATGCATGTTTATTCTTCAAATTCAATTTTTCTTATGTCATCTTGTTTTTTCTCTTGGTGTTTTTTTTTTCTCCTTTAATTTGTTGTGTCTATTGGGTCCTTTTGTTGTGACAGTTTTTATATATTTAGATCGCTTTATTGTAATTGTAATTTTTTGTAACCCATTAAATAGTATTTTGTTGTGCAATTTTTTGTAATACAGACAATTTTAGCTTTGTTACTACCTTTTTTTATTTATGTATTTATCTTTTATACCGTAATAAATGAATAAATAAATTGTATAAGGACATGGCTGTAAACTGCATATTCTTGGAAGACAGGAAATAAACCATAATCATTTTATAGTTTCATCCTTTAATTGCCAATTTGCTTGCCAAATTGGAATATTATACTAAGTGAACAATGGTCTTCATTGTACTAAATTAGTCACACTTTCTACTCTACATCTCATCCAACTGTTTTGTCACTCAATTGCCGATATCTATAGTCCTCTGCAAGCAATGTTTGATAGCGCTGTTACATTATGTCAGAAACCAAATCATGGTTAGGATAAATAAAAAATAATATCTTGTTTAAAACAATTTGATAAAATATGAAATGCTCTTTACTTTGTTTGAAGTCATGTACATTGAACTTTCAAAACAATAATACTTCCACATAAATCAAACAAACATCAGTACTCGGTTAAATCTTTCTGAGCGAATGTTGCCATTCATGCACTTGAAATTTGTATGATTAAACTGATCACGTATACAGTATTTGCAACATCCTATTATCTGTCCTTTAGCCACATGTTTAGTTAAAAACTTTTGCGTATTTAATGGCAATGTTATATGTGCATATTAAAAAAATCGTCTTTGTGCGCTGAATCCAAGTGCGAATATCGGTACAAGATGGCCAGTGTAAAGTTACACTTTGTCTTGGTCGATCAATTAAGTCCTGAAGCTCACATGAAACTATATAATCCATATTATGAACTGTGATAGTAGCAATTTCACAATCAGTTGAGTCTCTACACACTACAAACACTGCTATACACATTTATATTTATGTATACTGTATATTTATTCTATTATATACATTAGATATCGTCTTTTTCAATTTCATGCCAACAGCTTTAATACTGTAGGTGTTAAGCTTAATGGTGTACATGTGTTTGGCATGAACTCAAACAGTCAGATTCGATACACAAGCATCCTTGTCAACATGAACTCTCTTGGCATGAACAGCATTATCCCACACTGCGATCTAATTCAATTTCTCCACTTCCTTCTACACCCCTAAAGTTCAATAGCATGTAAGCCCACACTGAAAGAAAGAGATCATATTCTCTCTGGAGACGGAGTGTATTTTCCCCGATGATGCTTTCGGGCACAGGTGACTTAAAGGAAACAGTGACGCTGAATCGCTGACGCAATGCTATCATTAATGCTGCTAATATGATTAGTTGATTTGCAGAAAATTAATTTGAAGAGAAGAGTTTTTTTTTGTGTCTGTGGTTGGATGTACATCCTGTAAATCTTTCGTAGTTGTGAAGAATAAAAATTTGTGTAGGCTATTGTGGCAGTTAAGCAACTAAGCCGTTTTTACTCATTCAAAATGGTTTCAACAAAACTTTGGCAGGCATATCTCCGACAGGAGGTAAACAGTGTTTTAGTCTTCCTAGGAGAGGTGAGTTTACATTGAATTTTACCTCGTAAATAAAAGTGCATAATCCTTAGAGGTTGGATAATGTTTCTGTCATATCTATTCTGCTGGTTATTATTTCTAAAGCCAATTTTTGGATGGAACAAATGGTTATTGGTTTTAAATTTGTAAAGCGCAAAATACAAAAAGTCTATGTGCTGTAAACGCAAGTGTAGAGATGTGCAGCGACCATAAAAGAACACTCCCCACTTGACTATTTCAACTATTATATATATTTTTTATTGGCAATTGATTTCACCAAATACCCACATAAAGTATGTATAAGACACAAATAATGGATCTTCCTAGAATGTCAATTAAACTGAACAGAAATGTGCTTGTCCCTCAAATGCACGTTTGAGACTTAAGCAACAATATCCAATTGGTGGGGCTCACAGAAGTGTCTGTTGGTCGACTTTAGACTAAAACCCTAGATATTTTGATTTTATGCCTGTGGCATATGCCCAATGTCATAACGCCCGTGGAGAGGGCCCTGTGGCTTCCTGAGGCTAGGGGCCCTTTTTTGGTCCAAGTCGCCAATTCCATAGTACGATTTTAGACGTGCTCGTTTTTAATAATGTGTGTCAATGTACATGTTTTTAAAGACAAAATAAATGATAATCTATAAATGGCGGATCAAAGAATTTGAAATAGATGGGTCCGAAGGGACTTTCATAGATGAAGGGTCTTTACTACTTCAGCCCCACCATTGTTGGTGCTAAGGTCTGAAAATTTATGATTACAGCAACCCTAGATGTCCAGAAATGGCACTCAGACCTTTTTTTTTTTACAAATCTATATTTTAAATTGATATGTCCTACAGTCATACATTATGCTGTTATGTATCAACAGAGCTCTTTTAAATCAGGGTTGTAGATCCCTATGGGCTGCGGCCAAACAGGGGCCCCCAGGGGCCGGGGGCCCCTGCTGACCCAGAGCGCATAGGCGTTACACCATTGCATATACAATGTCATGCAGTCTGCGGATTGTTGTTGGCATTGCGAAACACCCCATCGTGTTGGGTTCTCCATGGAATAACATTGTTAAATGACAGTCTGCGCATATTTTACATGGCTTAAGAGGGTTTATGAACGCATCATGCTGTAATTACTGTCATCGAAACACATTTCCTAAAGCATAAAAGTTTGTACAATCTTCAACGCTCCACCTGTGCTCTAACACATTTCACTAAGTACCAATGCCAATTTTGAGTTTCCTGTTTAACATTCAGAAAGGATATAAAAGTCATGTACTACCGGTATCAAAGCCAATCGACATGATAAATAATTTTTGATAGCAATGAAAAAAATTTCTTGTGATACTTTAAATGAATAGTATACCACATGAATTTCCTATTATTTATCCACCATGTAAACCTTTAAACTTCAATTTGACAAGTAATCAATAAAGTTAATTTACAAACTATCTATCATAATAATTGAATTTATGACATCTGACAAAGGCGCTGAATTAGACACACCATACCTTTGAGGTCGGTGGCTATAATATTTGAGAGGTCAAAGGTTTGAGCCCAGTTTCAATGTTTTGTTTCAATAATATTTATCTATATTGCATTATAATGTAGTTTTATGTTTCAGGAATTTTTTTTTCTAAATGTTTATAATGGTTATATTTTGATAGTGCAAAATAGTAATTGTCTCTATACTATATCTATAACTACAATATTTTATATATAAGATTCGCATTTTTTTTACCTCTTTTCAGATCACAAGTAGAGTAGAAAACACAAATAATGCAAGAAACCAAGATGTTCCATCACCGCCACCAATCAAATTAAGGAGCGTCAGCTTTCTGCGTCCGGCTCCACCCATCAGCCCCCACACTGTATGGAATATGAAAGGGGAAGGGGTCGTGAAAAGTCCCAAGTCTTCACGCAAGCTATTGACATCAGTCAAAAAGAAGCAAGGTTAGTTCTCTCTCCACCCAAAAGTATGAATAGGTACCTGGTGTGGTTGCCTGCTCCTGTGCTGATTTTATCAGCTACACTTAAGATTGAGGACCGTGGAAAAAAGTGCTCTGTATGGTACGATCTACTCTTTACACTTTTACATAAAACTGATAAAAATTGCCAATTAAATTACAGTACATAGATTCCAAAACCATGGCCACACCTAAGTCCCCTCCTTTCTCCAAACAACATTGGACCTGCTTTATTTAAGACCCTGCACACCACAACCTCCACCCCCCATCAGTAAGTAGGTCAGTTGTGTACTTTATGTAGTGTGGCTTACACTAAGAAAATTATTGACATAAATGCAGATAAACTAGGCAAAATACAGTACAAAAAATAAATAACTTTTGCTCATACAGAACAAACATTTAATATGTTGTAACTGCCAATAAATTATCATGGAAAATGAAACAATTTTAAGTCTTTGTTTTTATTACTAATAAATACTTTATTGTTTTTCAAATCACTATTAATTTACACTTTTGTTTATTAATTTATAATTATTTCCAAATTATAAAACCTAATTTAAACATTTATTTCTGTTTTGAGATGAAGCCAAGTAAATGTTTAAATTACTCATAAACAGTAAATTATTTAGGAACTCAAGAAAATAATGACAAGTGATATTTTTAGTACATGCTGATTATTTATAATCATAATATTTATTCAGCAAAATGAGTAAGAGGCAGGAAAAGAGTAGTTAATTAGCAAGAGCTTAAATAGAAAACTTTTTTTACTGTACCATCATATTCAGGCAAAGACCAGCCAAACCAGTCACTCGTCGCAAATCGTGTTTCAGAGATAATTGCCAAAACATGCTGGAATGTTAACATTTTTAAAATCTATTTTTATTGCATTAAACTAACCTTTATATATCTATACATCATGCTATTTTGTTATTTTCCCCATTTTTAATGTTAAAACAACAATTTTTAACAATTTGGTGATGGTTTTCGAGAGAAAAATGTCTCAATTAATGTTCTTTAAACAGCTGTATGTTTAAACTTTACAAATTTGGAAAATATCTATTCATAATACCTTATATCTGTTAATGATCTCTATATGATATATATGCTACAAAACAGAATATATTAAATAATTTAATTTCTTTTTTGTGTAAATTTCAAGATCTGAAATTAGCAAATTTGGACCATATTTTTTCATAATACATTGTATAATTTTTTTTCTGCTATGATTATTAGATTCTAAATTTATTTCATTTTTTGTGTATTTTTCAGCTGCAAAATTAGCAAATTTTCAAGTTCAAAGGTTAGAACACCAGGAGGAGGATACTCAGATACTGAAAGTGATAGAAGCGTATTGCTTTTCATCAGGAAACTCGCGCATATCAGGTAACACACACAGCGACTCCTACAAAAATTACAAATACAGGTTGTATGCTGCCCTCAAGTACAACAAAATTATAATATATTACATATTTAGAGATAACATGAATATATCCACTTTAATGCTTTATATATAATACAGGTTTTTTGCCTGGAATTTTTTTTTTATTGTTTATTATTTTCACACTATTATTTTTATTCTAACTTAAATTTTTGCCTTCTTTAATTATCTTGCCTCTAGAGGTTTATGAAATTCTGTTTAGAACTTTTAGTTTCTTTTGGACTAGTACCACTGCCTATCTATGGGATGGCTAGCATAACATCATTGAAACAACCTGTGCCAGTGGATTTCTTCTCTTTGTCATAAATAAGTAGCGCCCTCATTGAGATTCTAATTGAAGTTTATAAATCAGGTGTTTCTAGTAATATGAGATACAGTACACTGCACCCTTCATAATTTTGATACCCTCTAATTTGAGACCACTTTTTTAAAGAACCAAATAACAATCTTAAATTTTTTAACACAAATCTAACCCTCTAATTATGGAGGCTGAACCCCGAGACCACCCCATTTTTAAGGTTCCATAAAGCTGGTCTCGAATTGGGGTGAGGGTGAATTGTATATTGAAAGCTGGGCACACACTGTGTCGGCCCGTTGTACAAAAACAATCAAATTCTTCTCTGCTCTCAGTGAGTACTTGACATTGCAACGCCATTTGCTAATTGTTGGTGGCAAACTCAGCAGTTCGTCATTAAAAACAATCTGTTACACGTCCCGTGACACATTGCGTTCTTTATGGAATTTCATATGCTGTCGACCGTCTGTACAGTGTGTGCCCAGCTTAACCTGTTTGATACGTTTAACAGTACTTAGAGGAGTACATTGCTGATTTCGAATAATGGTTTGCATCAGGAAACTTATAATAGGAATGATGTTTTGCTCAGCCTGATGTATTATCATACTGTACGCTCATGGTATCCCCAAATAACTTTAAGTGGCAATCAAATTCAGCATCATTATCATTTACATTTTGAGTCCATGTTCATTCTGATCATGGGTTGGACTTTTTCTTCATTTAATGACAGATTTCCAAGCTTCTCTGCTCTGAACCGATTCCCAACTTTCCTTTTCCCTAAGGTTGTGGGTCTTATATTTCTGGTGTACCGTAAGCTATAGAAAATTTGAATAGATGCTAAATGTGGAATTCTCAAAAACAAATTTAGGATTTAGATGGATTTAGGTGTGGCTGGAGTCTGAGCATTTATTTTAGTAAACGATAGCAATCATCTTGAAAGTAGAAGCCAATAGTGGAAAAAAAGGGGAAGCAGACTTATTAAAAAGTCATGAAAATAATTTAAAATGTAATTATGAAATTGATTAATATTAAAAATTGATATTTTTTACCATGGCTGGTTTGAGAAAAGATTTAGTTCATTGTTGGCTTTTTGGGGGGTTTTCTAATTTGTTTTATAAATTAAATTTTACAAATATAATGACTTGATTAGATTTTTTTTAGAAATAATAGTAATAGGGACAAAATATTTGTTTTGCAAAAACCCAACTGACCTAAAATCAGAAAAAAAAGCTAGGATCTAGTTTATATGGGGTGTTTTTGGCTGTTTTGGAAATTTTTTTAAATATTTATTTCATTCTCATTAGTACTCTCTTCAATCTAAGAATGGAACTAGACATATGAGTTGCAAACTTATACCCATTTCACACTGCCAATACTTTGCTTACAGTAACAACTAGTTACCAGTTGTAATTAGGTTTGTGTATAGTGTGAAAGCAAATTCACGTAAAATATCGCAGGGGACCCCTGTGATATCTCTGAAGAAAAGCAGTCCTTATCTATGTCCTGAGATTCACTGTGCATGCGTTCATACTGCTATCAGGCAACGGAAAACATAACCTAGATATCTAGGCCTACTGCTATTCGCCCGTGATTTCGCATGGTTTGGATTACTGGGTGCGAAACAAAAAAGTATCTTTGGAGATCATAGTTGTTAAAACTTGTTACTAATTGTTTAAAGTGGAAAGATTTTCTGTTAGTGTGGGAAGGGTATGAGGCCTAGGAAGTGGAATAGCTTTAGTCATGAGGGAAAAATAACCAGCAGTCACTGAACTCGAATCCAGGTCTTTTGGATTGAAAGACGAACATCCTAATTGTGAAATTTTCATGTACAGAATAAAATACAAACTAATGCAAAAGTATCAAAATGTATGTTGTCACTTACATTTACCCAGGAAAGATTTCTGAGAATATTCTTCCAAGTTATCTAGTGTAGTTGTTTTTTTAAAGGGAATGGCATTTTCTATGTAGTTTTCAGTTGTTCGAGCTGTATTGTTATTGTATAAGAAACTTGTAGAAGCTAAAAAATTAGTTTATCAGCAGTCTCATTTTAATTTACAACTTCCAACACTATGTAATATTGTAATTATAATACTACTTTAACTGGAGAAATTCCTACATTTTAAGTGTATAAAACAATATGAGCATTGTATGTGATATATGTGTATTTGTACATTTCATGGACTGTATGCTTTGTACATAATACATACGTGTAAAATGCACACATGTGCATTGCATATTCCATATATATTGTTATGGTATATATGTAAAATGCATATATGTGTGATGTGCATGTGTATAATACACTCATGCATTGCATGTTGTAGAAAGTGCACGTGTGCAAACTGCACAAGTGTTCATTGCCTGTACGAGCTTGTACAGTGTGCATTGCATTTTGTACAATACGTTGCAAGGAAACTATACACATCTTCCACAATATGTTCTTAACATACTGATATGTTTATCAACCGACCTTTTGCGTGTTTTCTACACGTCTTTTAAAGAGTGCACCTTGTCAGTTTGCATGTGCATTTCCCACATCAGTTCTATATTTTGTTCCAAATACTCATACTAATACAAGACACATATTAAATGTTTTTCCCTCTTCGCTTTTTTGAAATTTGTTAAATTCATTTTTAATTAATTTTAATTTCATTTACATTATATTAAATTAATATGTATATCTATATATTTTTGTTTAAGTTTTCAGAATTATTTTGTAAATTCGTACATATAAGGTATACCATCTCTGTTGAGACCAAACTGGGACCCCCTAACTGCAAAAAAAAAAGGTGGAAAAGAAAATCCCATTAAAATTTAAGTCTAATAGTACCATTGCCGGTCATCTAGAGGTCCCTCACCCCTAAACCATGGTGTGCTGAGGTGATCTGGACCCTCCATTTGAAGGAGTCAAATGTTTTTCCGTATTTTATGATAGATGGTATATCTTTGGTTTTTAGGCAAGACTTTTTTCATACCTTGTTTAGCAAACTTTATTTGAAGGGATGTCAGAAGAAGACAGGTAAAAAAGTAAAAATAAAATTTTAAAACTGCAGTAAAAGCTTATAGGCATAGGAGAAAATAAAAATGAAATTATGTTGACAAATAAGAAAATGTGTTGGTTCAAAAAATATTATTAAGACTTCGGCCCATAATTGAAATTATTTTGGAAAGCGATCTTAATTGCAATATAAACAGTCAAGTCTCAAGTAGTCTTGTGCATTATATTTATTTAGTTGTGAGAAAGAAATAAGATGTCTTGCAAGATTCATTACGGTGACTAGCGTAAAATAAATAAATAAAAAACTAATTTGGTTTTTTTTTTTTAATAAATTTCATCTTTATTTGACTTACCATGATTGACAAATTTCATGAAACAAGGTATAAAAAAGTCAGACCTTATCGACATTATATATTTATTTTATGTATTTATTATCATTTTACTACTGTATTTCTACTACTGTTTTTCCCTTTGATCATTATAAATTCATTTTATGTTGTTTGCTAAAACATTGTTTTTCTCAGTTTTTTTTTTTTTTTGTATCATCACTGTTGTCAATAATCTTATAAATTATTGGTTTCTGCATTTTAAATACATGTGGTAATAATCAGAAGATCAGATCAGAGATGATAATAATCAGATATGAGATGATTGATTGTCACTCACCTCAAATTAACAAATCTTACTGTGGGGGAATATCACTGAAGACAACCAAAAGGCATTTCTACAGGCATTGGCATCTGCATGTTAAGTGAAAAGCATACGACACATACTATATAATTATGCATAGTTCCCTGGCTGTGGATGAATTATGCATGAAAGTGACATGAATATTCATGCAGGCTTAAACCCATGTCTTATTTGTAGACCTTCTCTTTTCCAGTCAGAACCACCGATGTCCAGCCTAACAAGCCAATGGCCAGCCTTACAGTGCGCGGTCCACGGTATATTAGTCGTTCTTGATGATTTACATTTGTAACCGCTTCTAGCCAAAAAGGAAGAAAAAGATAATAACGACTTATAATTTCTTTTTTATAATAATGTTCTACAACAGAACTTAGTGTGTTATGCATAGCATTTCATTGTATTGTGCTAGGTAAACTTACTCCATTCACATCATTCGCATATTCACTCTTGCTTCTTTTAAATACTTTGGTATTAATATGTCTTGTCTTGTATCTCACTTCATGCCAATTTTTGGACTGGAATACTAACGTTACCTTTGCAGATATGTTACCCCCGGTAGTAGACTTGTCTCCTATTGTGTCCTGTACAATAGATTGTTGTCTAGATAGTTATTATGGATCTTGCACTTAAACTGTTCCCTACTTTGGGTATTATTATTATTATCAATATTATTATTAACACTATTATTATTTTCATCATATTTTGACAATTTTTACTGTTAATTAATATCATAATAATAATTATCATCATTCATTATATTATTTTTATTATTTTGTCATCTTTTTTATTATTTTCTTTGCTATCAGTTTATTATTTTTTTGTATCAATTTATTTTATTTTTTTTTTGAAGTGCATTTACCTCTCAAAGTTCATTCTACATTGTTTTTAGCTTGTTAACAAATTGTTTTGAATTTATAATCACTATATTCCTACTTTTCACATTTTTTTATTAACTCTTGACACCTTAATATTTCTTGAAATAAAACCTGTGATGTCAAAGTCCTAATTGCATCATGAATATGTAAATATACAAATTAGCATAATGTTCACCTGCTTTGCACATGGAGTATGACGATTAAACAGTCATGTATTTTGAAGAGGCTAACTTGCACATTTCTAAATACCAATTACGTCTGAATGTTTATTTGGGGAAGGGTGGGGGAAGGGAAAAGATAAATAGATGAGTGGAGTTGTGTTTAAGTGCTGGTTTTCCATTAAAAAAAATTTATGTTCAATCCTAACAAAGTGTTTCAGACTATTTTTTTCCCCAAACAGGAAAAACATCACGGTACTCTCTAAGCTCATTGAAAAACTAGGTTCTAGTGCACTGAGGATCCTAAATTGTCAGCCTTTCACTCCGTAAACATTATACAGGCTTCATCATAAAGCACTGATGGTTGCAAGTAATCAGCAAGTATCAAGGGTCCAAAATGATCAGCTTACCTCTCCCGGGCCTCATTGAATGACCTGGTTATAGAGCATCAAGTGTTGCAAATGATCAGCTCACCACTCCCCAAGAAACATTGATTTGGTTAAAGGTTGCATGCAAATATTAGCTCTCCTCTTCCCAAGCCACATTAAGTGACTTGGTTTTAGAGCATCAAGGGTTGCAAATGGTCAGCTCACCACTCCTGGGCCTCATTAAATGACCTGGTTATAGAGTATCAAGGGTTGCAAATGATCAGCTCTCCCCTCCCCAAGCCACTAAAATGTCTGTTATAGTGCATAAAGGGTTCCAATTGATCAGCTCCCATAAAGAGACTTGGTTATTGAGACCTCAAATGATCACCTACAGGGGCTTCTTTTAGAATTGACGTCCATTAGAAGCAACTGATTTTTTACACATGCTTAAATGCAAATACTTAGGAATAAAATGGCGTATTCATACAGGCATGTCTTTAAGGTTTATTATTGGCTTTTTTGTATTTACTTTGTCTATTGTTCATTCACTCTCCAAGCTTATTTCTTAAACCTCTTTATTGTCTCACCTATTCCACTATTTTCTTGCCTGATTCTTTTGTTAGTATTGTCATCTAGCTCTAATTTTCTGGCTTCTACCCTTTTTGACTTTTGACTGAAGAAATACTAAATGAAAAATTACTAGTTCTATTTGGAAGCTTTGAATTTCTGTCATTTTAGCTTTTGCTTATCAATATTGTATCTCAACCAAGTATTTTACACTAAAGAAGAACACTATTACGTTGTTGAGACCACCCTGGGATATGGAGAATATTGTAGTTTATATAAGTTAATTTCAGGAACTTTTGGAAAATCTTTGATAGCTAAAAAAGAATGAGGGAGCAAAAACATGCACACTTGTTGATTTGATCAGTGCCATTTGATATACCTATTTGATTTATACATTATTTGTGTTCCAAGTGCTACATGCAGCAACTTGATTTGAATAGAGGGGTCCTGGAGGAGCTTTAACAGGAGTAGGGTATAAACCACCTTAGCTCCAACATGCCCCTCTCCCCTCCCACCTGCCTTGAATCCGCCACAATTGATTTACTTCTGCGGGGTAAACTATGTACTACTGTACTATACTCAAGTGCATTTGAACCTAACCAAAACTTAGCACATTGTTTAAATATTAGAAAGCCAACTACAGTAGTTGTGCAATGTCAAGTCAACATATAGGTGTCAACTCAGTATTTTTGAAAGATTGGGGTTTTTCATACTTTCAGATTAAAATTTTATATTATAAAATATTTATATTACATAGTATTAAATATATAATATTTATATTATATATTATTAAATGTAGTACATGTTATAATATAGTAAAGCACTCTGGACTTATTTTTTTGTAAAGCACTATATGGATACCGACATATAGTATTACTATACTACTAAGAAAAAGCGAAAATGCGATAACATATTTTGCAAAATACCCTAAATCATTTTCTGTTATATTAACATACAGGTAGTTGTTTAGAGGTTTTATAGATACCGTAATTAATTTTTGCTGTCACTTTTTTGCCAAATAATTATGGCCTGATTGCTTTCAATGGGTTATATTTTATCCATTTTTCTATTCACCGTATGTTTTGCTTTTTTGTGCTGTGTTATATATTTAATATTACAGCACAAGATAGAGAAATAGAATCATTAGTTTGTTCAAAGAAATTTCTAGCTTGCCACCATTTTTGCATTAATTAATTCCTGAATATATTTTTATTTATTACTTGAATGTTCATTGAAGGGCAGTAGAAACAAAAAATTAACACAAATGCAGTTTCACAGGCAACTATAGCTTGGTGTTTATGGTGATTACCTTCCAATTCCTGGGTCATGGGTTCAAATCATGTGGACTGTCAAAATTGTTAACCAGAATTTTGTTTAAATAAGTTGTTAACGTCCCTCCAAAATAATATCAAACATTGAAACAATGAATAATACAAATAAGATAAGATATATGCATAAATTTGCATATTCATATTATGAGTTTACATATTCATGACTTGTTATCGTTCTCTTTAATAATTAACTTTTTCTTCATCTTGGACAAACAACTTCTCTTCAGTTTGAGTTAACATTCTTATGTAATTCCCTCTGAACATAAGTTTATTTTATACTTATATATTAATGATTTCCAAACATGGGTTAAAGGGCACATGGTCACAGGAGGCAGTACCACCATTTTGGAATATATTTATTGGAAACCAAATTGCCAATGTTGACAGACAAAATTGGGAGGGGATTTTTCACCCATAGCCCTCAATCTGTATCTGCTTCTAAACTAATTTAAAAAAGTTTAGATCTGTAGAAATATATTTTATCGATTTATACTGTTGCTTTAGCCGCAGCTTTCTATCAGATATTTATATATATTGTGTGAAATTATGTCAGAAGATTATATACTCAACAGTTAATATGTACTGAGAGTCTGACAAAAACTCACAAATATTATATAATCAAATATTATATAAGCAAATAATTATATAATGCTTTAATGCTTTGAGTATTAGAATGCGCACAAGGTTCTCAAACTGTTCAGGTTGCATTGTTGTTCTCATATATATATAACATGCAACAATAAGAAATACGAAATCATTACAACAATTTGGAAGTGTTATATCATTTTGATGTAAACATTAATTTTGTTGTAATATATGAGATAGATTTTTCAGGAGGACTTTAGATTTTGCAATTTCTGGAATCATTAATTATTCAGATTGGCTGTGTTTTGAGGTTGGGAAATTAGTTTCCAAATTTGTAAAGATTTATTTGAGTCAATCTAAAACCAGAGACTGTACTAATGGATATGAAACTGAGTATAAATTTAGCCAAACTTACAACACTCTTGTTACGATTTCCCTATCACGCATGTGCAGTAGTTGCAGTATCTATTTGTTAAATAGTCCTCTATAGTCACTTGCACATTTTGGAAATGTCATGCAACATTTTAGTGGAATCTTGGCAAAATATATACAGACGCCATTGCACATCTGGTAAAATACTATTATTTCAATCTTTGCTGCAAAATACCAGGTCCTTGGATTCACGTAGAGTAATTAGTGTAATTTTTTTCTATTTGTTTGCAGTTCAAATGGACAATACTCCTCCCGTTTTTCTGGCCGAAGAAGAGAAAATCATAGTGGAGGAAACTCGGGGTAACGAAACGGTTGTGCAGGAAAAGTAAGTTCCTGTCATACCGCCCCCTATGGTAAGAAGTGGCAAGATAGTCTGTTAGTCTCCTTGCAGCAGTCCATAGTGCACAAGTAGTCAGCAGGCGTGTGCGGAGGCTATAGTGAAACTGCTCATGGCTGCATGCCACTGATCAGATAGGAATTTGCATGCTTGCAATCGAGTTTTAAAATGGTGAATTTAAGCTATAGAGAGCAAATTGTGTCTCAACAAATTTTTATCGCACAGCACATTCCAAAGTTACGCATGCAGGTCATATTTGGGTCTTGTTAATTCTGTAAAATGATTTTTAATATCATTAAAAATTATAATATTACTGTTAAAATAATACAGAATGTTGTATGTAGCACAAAACTATATCCACTTTATCTTAAATCTGCAGTATGGATATGTTATATAGTATTAAAAGTAAAGTTGAACATTTTATAAAAAATTATGAATGAACAAAAAATTAAAATCTAATTAAGCACAAAAACTGGAGCTTGTGCACTTATCAGAAAACAGTTTGAAAAGAGTTTCGGATATGTACAGACCAGTTTACTATCTTTGCAAAAATGGCATCATTTGACCCCCTGCATTTGAGCTCTTGCTAAATTATGTACTTGGTGGAGCAGGTAAAGAAGCTTTGCAAAAAAATTGTAGCGGCGCTAAGAGGAAGGGGCCGAGTCACTACCTTGCCACTTGCTTTCCAGAGAGAGTTTTACTCTTGCTACAGTTGCATGAAAACAGCTTTTGGCTGTGTTTGTCTATTAGTTTATATACGTTTAATATAGTATAGGTTTTTTAGATAGAGATAATATATAGTTATCTCATTATTTACATTTTTCAAATTAACTTATGTATTCTATATTTTCTCGTCTTTTCAAAAATGAAAAAAAAGAAAAGCTATTTGCAAATTTTTGTCTTGTGTGTACTGTACTGTACATGTATAGTAATGTAACAAGTTTTATTCTTTTTTACACAATTATAAATTTGCCCATTGAATTGGAGCATTAGATAGTCAAGATGCTAGCCTTCTAATCCCAGGGTTTTGGGTTCAAATCCTGAAAGAAATCATAAAAAGTAACTTGTAGAAAGTCATTCTGTCCTGTAATTTGAATGTGTTGTTGGTTGTGGAAGGATTTTTTTCATTTTAAAAATGAATATTATAAAATGCTTGGTACATTAAATCAATTTTAGCTGCTTATTCAGAACAACCTCTCACCTATATGCAAATTAACATCTGAATATTAGGTGCAACCTCTACCTACTATGTTTTGAAGGTTTTAAAGGAGACACTGTCCCCTGTTAACAATTTTTTACTGTTTTTTTTTTTTTTTTTTTTTTTTTGTAATTTGCCAGTTGAGCTGTAACTTAGTCTATATGATGGATGCTTTCCAATCCCAGTGTCCTGGGTGTAATTCGACAAACAATAGGATTCTTATTTTTGAAAATGGGGTGTGCATTTGGGATGTTATTCTTTAATGGAGTTTGACTTTTTCAATTTGTTTCCCTACACCAGATGAAATTCTATTAACATGTAATAATTGTGTCATTGTTTTTTATTGTTCACAAACCAGAGGAAATTCCTTCAGAAAGTAATAACTG